CAGGCATGCGCCACCATGCCCGGCTAATTTTTTCTATATATTTTTAGTTGTCCGATTAATTTCTTTCTAATTTTTAGTAGAGGCGGGGTCTCGCTCTTGCTCAGGCTGGTCTTGAGCTCCTGAGCTCAAACAATCCATCTGCCTCGGCCTCCCAGAGTGCTAGGATTACAGGCGTGAGCCACCGCGCCCGGCCTGAATTTATTAATTTTTTAAAGGTCTGTCATTTTGGAAAGCGTGAAGCTTTATCCATAGAAGAGGAACAGTTGAACTCCAGATAATGCCCTTTTTAGATTTGTTCTGTGATGCTCTTTACCTAGGTCTTTCAATGATGTCAAGTTCTGTTTCTTGATACGTACTTCATGATTTGGCCACAAGGGTGCGTAGCAAGCTGTCATTATTTATGGATTTATAAGTCTTCATCACACAGCAATGGAAAGAAATTCAGAGAGGAGGCTGGGGGCAGGGGCTCATGCCTGTAATCTTAGCACTTTGGGAGGCCGGGGCGGGAGTATCACTTGAGGCCAGGAGTTCAAGACCAGCCTGAGCAACATGGTGAGACCCCCATCTCTACAAAAAATAGAAAAATTAGTCAGGCGTGGTGGTGCATGCCTGTGGTCCCAGCTACTTGGGAGGCTGAGTAGGAGATCGACTTGAGCCCAGGAGTTTGAGTTTGCAGTGAGCTATGATGATGCCACTGTACTCTAGCCTGGGCAAGAGAGTGAGACCCTGTCTCAAAAAAAAAAGAAAGAAAAAAGAAAAGAAATTCAGAGAGGAAACTTAAATAATTTTCTTTTGCCATTAACTTTTCACTAAGATTCAAAACTTTGTAACTTAACAAATATTCACTTGTCAAAATTAATTATTTTACACTTTTCCTCTACTCTTTCAGAAGAAGAAAGTCTTCGAGGGGAGAAGAGGAAACGAGATGCTGAAGATGATGGAGAGGAAGAAGATGACTAGATCATTCTAGGACCAGATTCCCTAATGTTCGTGGGTGTGCAATAGAGTGATCACATCTTCTTTGTTTCTTCATGTACGATAGCTGTCCCCACAGAAGATAATGTGTAACTTTTTATAGGAAAAGTGTGGTTTTACTATTTTTGCCTTATCATTCCAAATAAGATTTATTAGTCTGTTAATGATCATATTGTATGTAGAGAAAAATTTTTTTGACCCCCGATTTGAAATTCCCTAGCAATTTATTTAGAATCTTAATTTTTCTGATTCAAGCTCACTGTATTAGTCTTTTTTAGGCCGTAATTAAAACATGATCAGTTTTACACAGGTGTAGTATGGTGCATTTCACTCATAAGGTTTTAAAGTTATTTATAAATTAACTGAAATTACAGTCAGCTGTAATATGAAATGACAATAGTCTCTTGAATGATGGGTTGGTTATTTTTTTAGAGGTGATCCAGAGATCATTAGTTTGAGGCAATGGCTTTTTTTTTAGGAAGAGTATTTGAGTGCTTTTTTTGTCACATAAGTAACTTGGAAAGTAGAAGCAGAATAATAAAGGTTCTGTTCAGCAATATATTAATAGTTCATGGATTTTTTGGAGGTTCCATTCAGTAATACAGTTCATGGATTTTGTGGTGACCTATAAGATTTTCTTTTTGAAGGACAAATTGCTTATACTAAGTCCAGAGATATGCAGGTGAGCCCTTTCTTCAGGCTGCAGATTATGACACGCCAATGGTTTATTTTATTTTGTTTTTAGATGTGCATTCTTTTTCTCAGCAATTCCTTTATAGTCACTTTCCCTTCTTGTTTCACTCCCTTCCCTCTCTCTCAGAAGACAGTTGGGAAATTTGTGGATACCTAGGAAAACCTTTAGTCTTATACCTCAACCACCTTTTCAGATCTGTCTGAGTTTTAAATAAGTGAAGTGAAAGTAATTGAGTTATTTTCTGAGCTACAAATATTATTGATAGTTTTATGCAACAAGCTCTGTTTACTCTAAATCTTTCTTGGTCGACAACATCTAAGACTATTAGTAGGAAGAAAAAAGAAAAGCAGAAGCTTTTGGAAGCTGCATTAGTGTTCCTCAGAAGTCAGAACATTGCCTGTTGATAATAAGATATTCAAGTCAAATTTTTAAGTTGGCTTCTCAGATGATTTGGATATCACTGTGCAAAATATTTCTAATTTTCCTGAGTAGAACCTTTAATAGTTTTAAAGCATTACCTGCTATAGCATTTAATTGGAATATCCTAGGTAGTAGGAAAAATATTTGAAACTAAATTGGTATTAAAATTAAGATTGGTTTTCAAGTGGATGTCCATTAAAAATAGAAAAAATATTTGGGATAAGTGTGTGTGTTTCTTTATATGGCTACTAACTAAAATATAACGAGTAGACCAGTGCATCTCCCTTTTTGTCACGGAGGCTCCATGTTCAAGGCAAATGCTTTTTTAGTCTTGGCTATCTAAAATTTTTGTACTTTGTTTTGAATATTTGTAAATTTTTAAAAAGTTAGTGTCAGCGAATTAACTGAAATTATGCTTCTACACTGGGACACATTTAAATTACTGAGTATAGTACTGCTGCTGCTGCTGCTTTTTTAGTTTAAAATGTATGACTTGGCATTTTAAATTAAAAATTATGAAGTTATTTGTGGAGAAACTAAAAAAGTTGCACAACTGACTGAAATAAAACACTTAGGACAAATTTAGTAGTAGGGGGATTGGAATCTCCAAAAGACTCAACGTTTTTCTTACGATTTTAAAAATTGAAATGCCCTGTTCTAGTCCCTAAGCATTCTCATTGCATACATACTATACCAGATTATAAAATACTTATTTTTAAAATGAAATCTATATATTAACTTTCTTATCAATCATCTTATTGTGCAATCAAAATTAGAGTTCTTTGGTTTGAAAACAACACTTAGAGCCTCCTGATAACTTTTAAGACTTACTTAGCTTTGTGGGTGGTATTTTCATGCAAATAAGTAAGGGTGGGTTTTATATTTTGTAGAGGTTTTTGGTCCTATTTTAATGCTCTTTGTATGGCAGTATGTATATAGTGTGTTAAGTTCCTTAAGAATCTCTCCTTAAAAACTTTGAAGTTAATACTTTTGTGCAACTGTGTTTTGAATAAAGCCATGACAGTGTTAAAAACAAAAATTGCAGTACTCTTGATTATTCTTTTATTGTTTCTGTTTCTCGTTTTTTCTGTGACTGCTGTAACTTAAAGTTTTTGAAACTGAATTGCTTCAAATAAACTGAAGATTTGTTATAATGATTAGTTTCAGTGTATGATATTCACTTTTTCAACAATACCTTTGGTGGCTTTGAAGGGCTTTTTAAAAATAGAAACAGGTTGAAAATTATTAATTACTCATTCAAACACTAGGATGTGATACGAGGCATTACAATTTAATAGTTTACCTCATCATCTTCAATAGTAACTTTTTCCAAGAATCAGAAAAATTCTGGATTCCCATAATTTTTCCTTTTGGGGTTCAAATTGAGCCAGTACTTTTTGTATTTTGATTTGAAGTAATAACTTTATTACCTATGATTGAAATAAATATTATCTGTGGTTAATTGAAGTGATTATAAAACTACCATACACCAATAGTTTTTTTCTAAAGTGAGTCCAGAATCTCCATTTATAATGTGTAATGTTTATCTTCAGAATCTTTTGATAATATAAATATACAAAATTCTTACATGTTTACCTCAAGCAAATCAAAGTTGAAATTGTTTTTTCTACTCTCTTTCTTTGGTTTTCTGGTGATAAGTGATTTTTTTTTTTTTTTGAGACAGAGTCTCACTCTTTTGCCCAGGCTAGAGTGAGTGCCGTGGCGTCAGCCTAGCTCACAGCAACCTCAAACTCCTGGGCTCAAGCGATCCTCCTGCCTCAGCCTCCCGAGTAGCTGGGACTACAGGCATGCGCCACCATGCCCGGCTAATTTTTTCTATATATTTTTAGTTGTCCGATTAATTTCTTTCTATTTTTAGTAGGGACGGCGTCTCGCTCTTGCTCAGGCTGGTCTCGAACTCCTGAGCTCAAACAATCCGCCCGCCTCGGCCTCCCAGAGTGCTAGGATTACAGGCGTGAGCCACCACGCCCAGCCTGTTGTGCCAAAATACTTTTAAGTATTATTTATTCCATGTTCTATATTTTAAAGAGGAGCTTTGGAATGTGACATTTATGCTTCCAGTTGCTGAAAATTTCCCCTCTGTTGTTTCTAGTATTGGATGCAATGATATTCTGCAGCTGTTGCTTAATAATAGCATTCTACTACTGCATGCCTTTTTCATGTACTAATCAGCCTAAGATTTGAGAACCTTGCATGGGTACTTCGGCCCCAGGCAGCTGCTTGTGTTACTAGTCTGTTGAACAACCTTAATGTCCAGTCAGCAATCTTGTCTGTTCTTGGTTCTTGGTGTGCTCTTGGCTGAAGAATAACCAGTCACACCAAAAGCAAGGCAAGCGTGAAAGTTTATTGAGAAAGGACAAGATAGGTTTACAGAGCAAGAGCAAGACTAGGGTCACAGAGCAAGATACATTCACCAAAAGGGCTCTGGTTACGGTCTGGGGTCCTGTTTTATACTGTCTAGATTGGGCCCTCCTCCCATGGAACCACTTTGATGGACAGTTAATAATGGCATGATAATTAGCCTTAGGTTATTCTAGGTCACTTTCCGAATCCCACTGTGCCTGGGCTGGGGAATTCCCTGCATTCTTTTGCAGATTGGCAGGGTGCCTGGGGCAGGATCAAGGTGGGGCATCATCAAGAGGGGGCACCTTGTCCTTCTTCCCCAGGTGGGGCAAGGGAGCACCAAGGTGAGGTGCCTGCCTTTGTCCCTAGGATACCTGGAGGTCCCTCACTAGCTACCTAACACTAACTTGAAGGAGAACAGTTTACACCACAAAATGGAAATTACAAAATGAGTTGGTCTCCAGGAGAATCTTTAAAAAGACTTTATATACATGTAAAATACTTTTATTTCATACAAATCTAGTCACTGTTTTGGGTACTAGGACTCTAAAATAGGTTGCTCCATAACAGCCCTGATTAAGATGATTAAGAAAGAATCGATCTGCTCTAGTCAGCAAGCAAAAAAACAACAAAAAACCAGGTATGACTTTTTCAACTTCATGAATATTTACAAATAATTATAATTCAAATTTTTGTTAAGGCACCCTTTGGACCTGGTTACTTATAAAACGGACACATCCACATTGATGGTTAATGCTGACAGAGGCCACCAAATAGGCACCCAGCACTGGTGAAAACAACTTGTTCTAATTTCAAGAAGTAACTTTTGACACTGACACTGGCCTATTTTCTCTGGTTGTCCTATTAAATACTCAAATGATCTCTGCTTTCCACTTTGGTTGTGACTTTTCCTGGATAGGGTCACTCTACAGCCCCAGAATTAGTTACAGAGGCTACAGATTTTCTACACTTGGAAGGATTTTCTCCCAGAGTCCCTTTCTCTTGGCACTGAGTAGCTAGCAACAGTGCAGTCAGTAGCGTTGAAAGTCATTTATGTAGAGAGCTGTAACTGAGGACTGCTGGGATCCGTGGAACTGGGGCCCCAGTGTAATGGAAGGAACTCAGTTGAAGCAACGATACTTCTTAAGAACCAATGACAGAGCACCAGAAGAAACCAAGGGAAGCAGCAATTACAATCATACTGCAAGTCTGCAGGGAAGGCAGTTGAAGCAGTTGAAGCCCAGCGCTCCACCCCCACCGCTTTTCTGACAATATTCTGAGTCAGGAACAAACCTCTTTCTGCAGTGTTAAGGATTTATTATTTGTAGGAAATTAGTGAAACCTTTCTGAATAGGATTACCGGTGAGGAATTTTTACCAAATTTGGTAATTTTAACAAAAATTATTTTTTTTATCAAGCCTTCTGTATTGGGATATGTGGCAAGAACACTGCCATCCTTGGGCAGGATCCTGGGCTGTAGTAGTCAGTGAAGGATTAGAGCTCTAGAACTCAGCCTTATTCATTTTGCTTTTACCCCATACCCTTATTTCAAGGACTCCAGGCGTAAGATTAATTTCTGTCTAAGGCTTTGTTTCCCGTCACACTCCTTTGGGACGAACCAACCACATATTATTCTCAGCATCACTACTTCAGACAGGAGGCTCGAATACATACTGGGGGATTTTATTAAATGTTTCAACTGACAAAGTAATCATTTAGGGGTATGATTTTGAGTTACCTGTTGTAGTCCTAGGGGACATTTGCCTCTTTAAATTTTTACCTTTATTTCCTCACTCCTCAACCCCTGAGATACAGATAAAACACTTTTCCTTTCCTTTTCTGGGGTGCTATTTTTACAACAGGGCGCCCTCCAGCGATTCTGGAATCTCAAGCAGGAGGATTAGAAATTGAAGGTCTCGGGGAGACAGCAACAGGACTTGAAATTAGAGAGATGCCACTTTAGTCATGGAGAAAAAAAATAAAATAGAAAGTGCTAATCACTTTAGAGTGTGTTCCTAACGTGACTGGAACACGGGCAAAAATTTCTGCGAAGCCAAATTATTACACTCATGAGCAGAGTCGAAAAGTCAGGAGCAAATAAAGATGTCAAGACTCCGGAAGGACCCGGGCTACCCGAAGTGCTCTACAAGGGCGCTTTCCCAAACGCCCCGGATTGGGCCAGAAATGCCGCAATCCCGGTCACGTGATCTCACCCCGCTCTTCCCTCCCCTACTCTAGATAAGGGAGAGCCGGCGCGCACGCGCCACACCGTTCAAAGCTGGACTCCTGCGCATGCGCGGGGCAAGGTCATGGGGGGTCGTGCCGCCCTGCCAGCGGCTGGAGGGGTGGCGCTTTGTATCCTGCCGCTGCCCACCTCCTGGGCCAGTCCAGATAGCGCGGACAGGAACTCTTCTGTCAGGCGTTTAGGACTTTCCTTTTCTTTATTGTCGTTTACATTTTGCAATCTTCGCTTAACGATTAACAGAGCCTCTATTTTCTTTGTAATTTAATTTTTAGTATTGCATTATTCCAAATCCCACTTTTCACGAATATCATCCACCTTCTCAGCTACTACGAATGGTGGTGTTATGTATTTTTTCAGGCTCTCTACGGTGGAAATGAGGGTTAACAATGAGTGTGGGTTATTTCTCAAGTGCTGCCTTTGGAGCCAAGGCCACTTTTACTTTTCCCACTTGCTTGTGCCCGGTTTGGTTAGCACTCGGGTGACCTTTGTTCGGTGAACTTCCCCTGGGGCTAGCCTGCTATTCCACTTTGTTCCTATCCAAATTTTTCTCATCTTAAAGCCAGAATTGCTGAAATGATCAGCGAAGTTGGTACCTAAGGACAAATCAATTCTGGAAGATAGTGCAGCAACCAGTTACCCAGAGGGAAACCATGGAAAAATGACACATGTAAAGTGATAAAGAGCTTTAATATATGTAGGAGCTTTTTTATTCTCCCCTTGAAGGAAAGAATGGTTCCATTGGGGAAATTTTATGCAGATCAGCATGTAGGATCAGGATTTACATTTTTTTCTTCTTTTAATTAGGGCAACTGAATTGTAGTTTGTTAGAATTGTCTCAAACTGTTGAAGAAAAACTATCAAATTATACTTTTTATTGGAATCAGTCACCTTCCAGGGGATGTTTGCTTCAGGTTGTCTTGTGCAAAAGAAAGATTTCTTTGAAGGTATGAAAGATGAAGAGAATAATTGAATTCTTGTATACACAATTTTTGTAAAAATATCGAAGGGTGGGTACATGTTTCTATAGAATTAACAACTATAAATACCTAACTGTAGTAAAAGTAATGCCAATAGTTTCTCAAGCATTTTCAATGGATTTTACAAAATGACCACAAAATTGAGTAAAATGAGGTCCATTTACTTCGTTTAAAAATAAGAGGCTGGGCGCGGTGGCTCCCGCCTGTAATCCTAGCACTCTGGGAGGCCGAGGCGGGCGGATCCTTTGAGCTCAGGAGTTTGAGACCAGCCTGAGCAAGAGCGAGACCCTGTCTCTGCTAAAAAAATAGAAAGAAATTAGCCGGGCATGGTGGCACATGCCTGTAGTCCCAGCTACTCGGGAGGCTGAGGCAGTAGGATCGCTTGAGCCCAGGAGTTTGAGGTTGCTGTGAGCTAGG